ATTAAAAACTTAACTTGTGTTCAAACGAGTCTTCATTTCATTTCGCGCGCGAGTGAGAGTGATTGTGTGTGTGACCGCACGAGAGGCGTCCAGGAGGCGCAACAATATATACATATATCAAGACTCTGTAATATTAAATACAAATAAGAAAGGCCTAAGGGCCATACGCGGATGTTTCTTGCGTACATCTCCAACGAAAATTACTTTTTCGTTGGAAATAAACGAAATGTGCATAAGTCACATATTATTCTTGGTTTACTACCAAGACTTTAAACATGAAACAGATAATAATTCTTAAGATTCGCCAGTAATAATTAATAAAAATCTCTCCTCAACGTTAAAAGTCGACCAAACTGGCAATCATTTATTATAAATAATTAGTTGAAATACAACGTTTCGGCTGTCATTGCAGCCCTTTTCAAGTAAATCTATAAAAAGTTACATAAAAATAATTTTAATTTTGATACATTTCATCGCAACAATTAATTATAAATTCATATCGAAAGTTTCCTAAGGATAGTCTTGATAATGTGAGATTGTTAATAGCGTGCTCGGTACACAAGTTTTTGAGTAGACAAAAACATGCGTGCTACATGAATAGATACATATTTAATAGGTATTCTGAATACTCAAAATTTTTGAAATTAAACAAAAATATTTTTGTAACAAAAGCGGATAAAGGCCAGGTTACGGTGTTGATGAGTCGGACAGACTATGTGGAGGAAATGAACAATTTATTGAAGGACGTTTCCACTTATAGATTACTCAATAAGACATCACTGAATGCATTGAACGCAAGAATTACTTCTTTGTTAAAATCTTGGTTGGACAATAAACTGATAGATGAGACCACATACAAACATTTGAGATGTACGAATGGTAATTTGCCTCGGGGCTATGGTTTATCAAAGATCCATAAAGCAGGTTACCTTCTCCGTATCATAATTTCAACGGTAGGAAGTCCTGCTTATAACATTGCAACCTTTTTGAGTGAGATACTGTAAAATGCAGTCAAAAAACCTCGATCTCATATCAAGGATAGTTGGTCCTTTGTGGAAATCATTAAAGATAAAAACATTGACGATAGTCAGATGATGATTTCGTTAGACGTGACTTCACTTTTTACAAACACCCCGTGAGAATTAATCAAGATAGCAATAGAAAACCGATGGGACGACATCTCACAATTTACTTTGTTTAACCTTGCGCAGTTTTTATACGCCATAGACACTGTTATGCGCTCAACTAGTTTCGTTTTTGATGGTAAATTTTACGAACAGGTTTTCGGTTCTCTTATGGGGTCTCCTTTGTCTCTAATTTTGTCTGACATGGTTATGGACGATTTGGAATCATATTGTTTGCGTCAATTGGATTTCGAACTCTTTTGCTATTTTAGGTACGTCGATGATATTGTTGTGCCTCCGGGAAGGCACGGAAAATTTTGGGGTCTCAGTCGACTGAAGGATGAGGATCCTAGGATCGTCGGGCGTCTCCACTTTAACTAATTCACTTGTTTATCTGAATAAATCTTTTATTTCACTTATTTCTCGAGTTGGTTTAATTATGTCTAATTATGTCCCACCTGAGTGGTTAGTTAAGTATGCTCGCACTCGATAGTTAGATTACAGGTGATAGTTTATATTCTGCGGCTTGTCTTCGACTCGTAGTTAGGTTCTAATTAGCGACTTGACTTTTCGGATTTTCGTTAGCGACTGACTTCATCGCCTCGTTCTTCGTTCGCGGTGGTCTCCTGCCCTTTTCTACATCTTTCGGGGGAAGATATAGAAAAACTCTTTCATTGGCTAATTTTTATTCACACGCTTTTATCTAGGTGCAAGCGAAGCAGGTTGATTCTTCGCTTGCGATCTGCGGTTTTCGGTGTAACGCTTATATTTCATCGCGTTTGCGTCTTTTCGCGATAAGCGCTTCGCGAGAGCGTGAGAACGTTTCTCAAATGATTGCATAATAGCCGACTTACTAATTTATTATTAAAACTATATTTAATATAATACAGTTATAGTCATTCGGACTATAACAATATTTTTTCAATTATTCCGAAAGGAAAAATAGAGGATATGCTTGGGATTTTCAATGGTTTTCACACTCGACTTAAATTTACATCTGAATTAGAGAACAATTTTTCTCTGAGTTTTTTAGACACAAAAGTTATACGTATTGGTGGCAAACTAACGACTAATTGGTTCCGTAAACCTACGTTTTCAAGTCGATATATAAATTTTCTATCAAGTCATCCGATGAGATGTAAACTCAGTGTCATCACAAGCTTAGTAGATAGGGCTATTTTACTCGCTGACCCTATGTTTCACGAAGAAAACATTAATATAGTCAGAAGAATTCTTCGTAATAATTGTTACCCGTTAACTGTTATAAACAAAAATATTAACAAAAGACTTAGGGCAATTAAATTTGGCGGTAATCTTAGCTCATGCAACCGAAATAAATTTGATGCGCAAAATTGTATGGTGTTGCTTTACATTAGAGATTTGAGCGAGAATATTACGCGTTGCATGAATAAAAATGGAATTGATGTAGTATATATATACCGTTCCAAAAAAATTAGACACACTGATAAAAAGAGGAAAAGATAGGATAGACAACTTAAAAAGAACCGATGTCGTATATAAAATTGAATATGCGAATTGTGATTCTACGTATATTGGACAGACAAAGAGACATTTAAAAACGCGCATCAAAGAACATCGAAATAATATCAAAAAAGACACTACATTGCATTCAGTCGTTAGTTTGCATCGGACTTGCAACGATCATGAGTTCCGTTGGGATTCTCCGGTGATCTTGCATCAAGAAAAACAAACAAGAAAAAGAGAAATTGCAGAAATGTTTTATATAAAAAAACAAAGTAAAAAGCATTAATTTACAGAAAAATACCGAGAATTTTAGTGAGATTAATGATCGTGTTCTTGACGCTATTTAAATTATTTTTATTTTTACCTATTTATTTATTTATTTGACTTTGTTAGTAGGTTTTAGATTGCGAAAGACACATTAGGTTTGTCTCGATTTTTTAACGCGTATTGACTAAGATTCTTGCCAATTGTTAACATCTATTTATTTCTTGCTTACTTCTGTCAATTCTACATTGTTCATTAAAACAATGGTGAATGTTGTCGGAGGTATGCAGTGAATTTGATTTACTGTATTAATTTATTTTGCATTTTCTCTTGGTATGTAACATATTTTTGTATATGAATTTATAATTAATTGTTGCGATGAAATGTATCAAAATTATAATTATTTTTATGTAACTTTTTATAGATTTACTTGAAAAGGGCTGCAATGACAGCCGAAACGTTGTATTTCAACTAATTATTTATAATAAATGATTGCCAGTTTAGTCGACTTTTAACGTTGAGGAGAGATTTCTTTTTTTAAACATGAAATATCTCATACTTGAGATTTAATTTTATAAACCCATATACCCCCCTAAAGAAATAAAGAAATAAACGCGAAAGAAAAATATAAATCCGAAAGTCACTGAATCGGGAATCGAACCCGAGAATCAAAATAGATCTTATTTGTACAATTGTATGCAGCGCAATAACTCATCAAAATATTTTCTTATATAAAAATGGTACACTAGAATTTTCAGCGAGTATTTTCTCGCCTCTGACGCCACAATCCAACATGGCCGCAGCGAAGAGTCAGGAGCCTTAAGAAACGTGTAAAAAAATTTGAATCAATCAACGCGTGAGATTTGTTAGGCTTTGACAGTATAAAATATAAAAATGTGCGAGATTTTTGAAAAATGACATCAAAGTATAATAAACTCTTATATTCTTATAAGTTTAACATTCTACAAAATTAGATCAGTTTTGTACAATCAATCGTGTTATTAGAGCAAAGCTCCATTTACCCTCGACTTTTGCATTTCAGTCTATACTCTATTCCTCCATAACAGAAGTTATCGTAATAATTATTGTATCTATCGATACCGAATTTTGCACATACGAGGGCAGTCCGATAAGTACTTAGCCTCATCGCCCGATGGTGCCAGTATCGCAAGAGAGTTTTACTATCGTGTAGTACATTCTCGTAGACGGCTACTGTTAAAATTTCAGCCGAATCGTAGTTTTGTTTTGACCGCGTGTGGAAGCGGGCGTGTCCGCGGATTTTAGAAAAATGGAAAAAGAGCAATATCGGTCGGTGATTCGACTCTTGTTTTTGGAAGGGAAATCGCGCAGCGAAATCAAAGATTCTTCATTTCGACATCTTTGATTTCGCTGCGCGATTTCCCTTCCAAAAACAAGAGTCGAATCATCGACCGATATTGCTCTTTTTCCATTTTTCTAAAATCCGCGGACACGCCCGCTTTCCACACGCGGTCAAAACAAAACTACGATTCGGCTGAAATTTTAACAGTAGCCGTCTACGAGAATGTACTACACGATAGTAAAACTCTCTTGCGATACTGGCACCATCGGGCGATGAGGCTAAGTACTTATCGGACTGCCCTCGTACATAGAGATACTCATTTAGATGTTTTTTTTATCAAAAAAGAGATTTAAAAACATTTACAAAAAAAAGTTATCAATGGAAAACTTTTACATAGACTTGCAATGGAAAAATTTTGTAAACAAAACACGTGAAATAGAATTTTTCAATACAAATATTTGCATAATTTGTATAATGTGCAAAAATAAGCGTGATTTTTGCATTACCACTTAATGTTAAAATGTAATAGAAAATCTTTGTAGACAATAAAATTGCTTCGCTTCATATTATTGCCTAGAACTTGCTAATGTGATCGCGAAGCGAGCAGTAGAGCCGATCTAGTACAATTTTATGTAAAGTTAGAAACGGATTACAGTACGAATTATTAAGAATTTTCTTCCGCTCGTAGAATCCGTATTATTATTATTATACATATTTTGTTTGTCTCGTACTTTGATAATGCAAATACATTAACAAAGACTCTTTAATGAAACTGCGATGATAAAAAATTGCCATGATTATTTCAGGTGTATTCAGTCTGCTTCAATTGGATCTCTCAGCTAATTTTCTTCAGAAGTTTCCCACCAATGCGCTAAGACACTTAACAAATTTGAAATTCTTAAATATTTCCGACAACCTGATTACTGTGAGTATCTTCGCAGATAATGCTCAGTTATCATCAATGTGTAAATATATTTTGCTATCATATTGTTTCTAAATTTGCAAAAATTTTATTTCAGCGACTATACTGTATTTATCTTTTATCTTGACAATCTACAAATAACTTTAATTCATTTTTTGCAGGAAATAGAACAAAAATATTTATCAAGCTTGACTGAGCTGCAAGTTTTAGATTTGAGCCGAAACAATATAGGTCAGCTCGGAATTAATACATTTTCCAATCTCTCTGCTCTCACTAGACTGGATCTGAGTCTTAATGCGCTGCGCACGGTATGTTATTATATTCACATAACGAAAAAGATCACGCACTCCTATAAAAATTCTTATAAAAAAAAACTCACAATTCTTCATAAAAAAAAACCTATTTTCAGTCAATTTACATAAATTTATGATGTTGTAGTTCTTGTGTCCCTAATCAAAAGTCTCCAATTTACAGAAAATTTTTATGGCTATTTTCTGAATTATACTGGCGTACCAAAAATATCGGAACCTCTTAATATTTCGAAAAATGCGCATTTTTTAAAAAATATTTCATACAAAAGTTGTAGGGTTTTATATGGCGCATTATATAGAGTAATATTAATGTTACTGAATGCTGAATATTGTTGTCAAAATCATGTAAAGATGATAAAATGTATTTTTAAATGGAGGCTTATTTATTGCATCTTGAGCTATAAGATCTTTTGAAATCACGCATCAAGAGCTTTTGAAAACACTGTAAAGTATTTTTTTCATTACGTATTTTCCGAATTAAAAAGTTTGAAAGTTGTATCACCAGTATTAGTATTAGCATTAAAAATGCGCAGTCGCCGAATGATAAGTTGTCCGCTTCCGTCAAAATAAATTTGAAAACGCGTCTTCTTTGTAGACGAATGTCAACACGGCATAGCCTGTGGTTTATTATAAAAACAGACGAATGAGATATACAAGTTGTAAAATATATTGATATATTAAAAGAAATGATAATAACATCGTTGAAATATAAATTGAAGCTGTGATGAGACATCTATTACTGCCTGTAAACATGAAAAAGAAAAAAGTAAGCAGAGAAAATGGTAAGAAATGATCGTTTATTTAAAAAAGATTTACATTTTAAATGAACTCATCTTGGCAAAAGCGGACAAACTTTCAGTCGGCGATTTTATCCTGTGTACGTTACTTATTTGTTCCCCTTTTGAGTACATGTAAGCAATTTATGTTCTATATATGTATGTATACAATTATTTCTTTTATCTGTCTACTCTATCACTCTCAGAATATGTTACATCCTGCTGCCTAAAAGTCTCTCTTCCCCCTCCTCTCTTTCTCTCCCCTCTCTCCCTTCTCCCTTCTCTCTCACCCTCCCCCTCTTCTCCCCTCTCTCTCTCTCTCAAATATCCATATCTTCAAATATAATGTGTTCACTTTACTTAATTATTAAATTTTGTATATATTAAAATTAAAATTAAAATTTGCAGTAGCTGCAAAATACAAAAAATCAAGAAATCAAAAATAGTCGTTAAAATTATAAAAATATAAAACTCGTATACATACAATCTGCAAACAAAATAAATTCAAGATATGTTATTCTTCTGACTATTCAAACCGTCCGGCCGTCGGAGTGTCTCCCTAACGGTGACCATCGTCAGGAAGGAAGCAGAGCACATAAGTGACTCTCTTACCAACACTCAAAGTCACAACAAGATTATATAAATTAAACGTAGAAAAATCCACAAGAATAAAAAAACGGAGAGAGCACTCACCCCGACAGTAAAAACAGAGAGAAGACGATGTTACATGTGACACATCACTCTAACGACTGCGCGGTATTCTACCTCGGCACAGTCGATACATATTTACGCAAAAAAATAAAAACAACTAAAACTTATCGGCGCTCCTATCAAAGATCTAACAAAACCATGGATTTATATGATCACAGAGCTAGATTTTATATTTTTATAATTTTAACGACTATTTTTGATCTCTTGATTTTTTGTATTTTGCAGCTACTGAAGAAGATCCGAAGTGGGTTGAAACGATTAGATTTTAATAAATGAGTTTTATTTGATATCTCATTTTAATTTATTAATTTTGTGCATGACATCCGCACAGGTTCCGATTGCCGTCGATATTTTATTTTATTGTAACACAATAATTCGAGCCGAGTATATAAGTTTTTATTTTGAATTCACGCTGGCTGTAACAATGCGTCCGTTGAAGAATTTCTTCCAATTCGTTGGACACAGTTTTAATTGGAGCGCGGTCAAACATTTGAAGGATTGGATTAAATTAAACAAGAGCCTGATTAGATTAAACTTGCGAATCAAATTCCTAAAAGATTGTTTGAATCATGATATTACACCGTCTCATCTAAAATTTCTTTCACGTTATGTTAATAATTTATGTCATTATAGGTCTGTATAGAAACACAAATTTATTATAAGACGTTCTGTTAAAGATATATTAAAAAATGAAATTCATGACGCTCATAGACAGATTCACAGAGTTAGATTAGATATTTATAAACTCGTCCGTTACATCTCGATTGATCTCCCAGTGTGTTATTGTAATATGTTTTTCGGTGAGCAAAGCGGATCATTACATTATTTTTATAATAAAGAGCAAGTTGGACTGGATGACAAATTTAGATGGCTTTTAGATAAACAAAGTAAATTCAATAACAGGAATATTCGTCTTATCCAATATTATTATACGTGTGCGAAAGATGATAAACACAACATTACATCCTGTATGCCTCACACCAACATTAGTCATTTATCAAATTTGTCTCCAGATTCGAATTTTTCTTTCTCTTTAAAACCATGTGAGTCAGGGCCGTCTCAATCTCTCAGCGTTTCCTTGGACCCGATTTTCTTTGCTTCTTTGATTCCTGTTGCTAATAAAAAAGATAAATGGTTTTTGAATTTATCATTTGTATCTATACCGCGTAAAATTCGAGATTTGTTGTAGTTGGGAGAGAACTTCTGTCTGCCAGTAATGATAAAAATAAAACCACCATAGAATTGTTGAAAAATATAGAACAAAATATTTTTAAACTTCCGGTGGAAAAACGATCTGCGGTCAGAAATAGAGCCTTTCCCATAATAAACAAATTCCATAATTCAATGTCCGAAAAAGTTCACACAAAAAATAATTTCACTAAGGCTTACAAATTGACGGGTAAATTCGTCCAAGATAATCCGGATATTTTATTTATAAAGACGGATAAGGGAAATGTCACGGTCGCGATGGACAGAGATATGTACGTGGATAAAATGTCTGATTTGCTTGCTGACCGGGATACTTATATTGTTGTCAAAAAAGATCCGACGAGAAATCTAATTAATCAATTACACGGATTTTGATGAGATGGAAAATAAATAATTACATTTTGTTAGCAACATATAAATCGCTGAACTGCACGGATGGGGTCTTAGCGAGAGTGGATGGTCTGCCGAAAGTGCATAAACCGAATTGACCTTTACGTGTCATCAAAGAATACACCTCTTTATTACTTTGCAAAATTCTTACACAAGATAATATATAAGGCCATTCCAAAACCGGATTCGGATATTTCTGATAGTTTTCAATTAGTGGATAAATTAAATGGTTTGTGTGTGGATAGTGATGTGAAGCTAGTTTCACTAGATGTTGCATCATTGTTCACTAACGTACCATTGGATATGGCTATTGATAGTTTGATAAACAGATGGGAATATATTGAAAAAGAGTGTACGATTCCACGAGATAAATTTTTGGCAATTCGTTTTATCATGAATTCGACCTAATTTATGTTTAATGATGTTTGTTATCAACAGACTTTTGGCACGCCTATGGGTTCTCCCCTCTCACCGATCATTGCAGATATCACGTTACAAGATTTGGAGAGTAGGGCGATTGCTGCGATTCCGATGTAACTTCCATTTTATTTTAGATACGTTGACGATATCGCGTTGGCGGCCCCACCCTCCATGCTTAATATTGTATTAAACACTTTTAATTTTTTCCATCCGAGATTGCAGTTCACCATGGAGGAGGGGGTTGACAACCGATTGAATTTTTTAGACGTCACCATTATTGCGAACAATGGGAGCATTGAGTTTGATTTGTTTCATAAGCCGACGTATTCAGGAAGATATTTAAACTTTGAGTCGCAGCACCCTCTCTGCCATAAAAAAGGCACCATCATCAGCCTCATAGACAGTTTTTTGGCTCTTTCATCCGAAATTCCATAAAAGTAATTTTGAGTCTATGATTGAAGTTCTTTTGTCTAATAATTACCTCTCAATGTGATATTTCAAACATTACAAACACGGTTAAAAAAGGTTGTTCTTTTGCTACAATAATAAGTTTCATAACAATAGAGCAAATATAAGCAACGATAAGATTTTAACGCAGAAAGAAGTTTCGTACTTTAATATTCCGTATATTAATAATGTATCGAAGAGATTTAACGATATAATACGTGATTTGGATGTCATTCCATCTTATACAGGAATTAATAGTCTCCGTAAATTCATCAAAGTACACAAAGATAAGTTACCAAAGATAAGTTACCATAACAATGTAGTTTATAAAATTGATTGTATAGATTGTGATGCGTCGTACGTAGGGCAGACGGGTAGATTGTTAAAACCTAGGACGAAAGAACATCGCAACAATATAAAAAGAAACGCGTCACAATTATCAGTCATATCAAAGCATAGATTACTAAATCATGATTTAATTGGGAAGATGTAAAAATCTTAGACGAGGAGCCTTTTTTAGGTAAACGTTTGATATCGGAAATGATCCACATAAAACGTCAAAGGAATAACTTAAATTTACACAGTGATACTGATAAATTAAATGATATATTTGTTCTTTTAATAGAAAAATTTACCAAAATCGAGCTCTGTGATCATATATATCCGTGGTTTTGTTAGATCTTTGATAGGAGCGCCGATTTTTAGTTGTTTTTATTTTTTTGCGTAAATATGTATCGACTGTGCCGAGGTAGAATACCGCGCAGTCGTTAGAGTGATGTGTCACATGTAACATCGTCTTCTCTCTGTTTTTACTGTCGGGGTGAGTGCTCTCTCCGTTTTTTTATTCTTGTGGATTTTTCTACGTTTAATTTATATAATCTTGTTGTGACTTTGAGTGTTGGTAAGAGAGTCATTTATGTGCTCTGCTTCCTTCCTGACGATGGTCACCGTTAGGGAGACACTCCGACGGCCGGACGGTTTGAATAGTGAGAAGAATAACATATCTTGAATTTATTTTGTTTGCGGATTGTATGTATACGAATTTTATATTTTTATAATTTTAACGACTATTTTTGATTTCTTGATTTTTTGTATTTTGCAGCTACTGAAGAAGACCCGAAGTGGGTTGAAACGTTTAGATTTTAATAAATGAGTTTTATTTGATATCTCATTTTAATTTATTAATTTTGTGCATGACATCCGCACAGGCTCCGATTGCCGTCGATATTTTATTTTATTGTAACACAATAATTCTAACCGAGTATATAAGTTTTTATTTAAAATAAAATATTTCGGAAATTAAGGAGTTTTAAAGAAAAATGTCAAAAGGAAAAATGTTTATTTAATCTTAACTAATATTAAAATACCACAAAATATCCAAGTTCTTATTTAAGAAAAAAGTTTGCAAAGAGTTTACCGCAATCTCTACCCAAAGTCATAATAGAATAGAATAGAATGTTTATTCCGGGCTCCCTCAGGAATTCTGAGCTGTTTTTAAGGGTGCACCAAATTCTTTACATCCTCCCTTCTCTCTTCTCTCCATACAATTCCTTTACAATTTACATTTTATTCCCATTTTTTATCACATATCTCTTTTCTCTCTCCTCTTTCTTACCTATTTCCTTCCTCTTTGCGCTTCCTGACTTCTATCGGCATTTGCTCTCCTCATCCTTCTTATTATCCTCTCCTCTCTTTTGTTCCTTCTTCCCTCTCTCCTTCTGCTTCCTGTCTCTGCTTCTTTCCCAGTCCTCTGCTCTCTTTGTCCTGTCTCTCTCATCAACCTTTAACATAAAAACAAACCTTCTCCACCTTCTCTCTACTCCCTTTCCTCCTCTCTCCTAATCTTTTTCTTTATTCTTTCTCCCTTTTCCTTCCCCCCTCACCTTTCCCATTACATACATAATTATTCTTTCCTCTCCTCTCTCACCTGGCCATTTTGCGACCTTACAATTCTCTGAATCCCTTTCCCCTACCCTCTTTCTCTTCTTCCCTTCTCTCTCTCTCTTTCCCTCCATCTCTCTCTTCCTTTCTCCTTATCTATCTTTTACTTGCCCGTTTTTCTCTTCCCCTATACTGTTTCCTTTACCTCTTTTCGTGTGTCTCTGTTCTCCTGTCTCCTTTTCCCCTTTTCCCTTTCCACCTTCTATCTTTCCTTTTTTTCTTCTAACCTCTCTCTTTCCTCGTTCCATACCCATTTATTTCCATCCACCCACATCCTTCCCCCTCTAACTTCTACATCCCTTCCTCTTCCCCTTTCCATCTTAGCTCTATCCAGCATTAGCCACCTAGTTCTCCTTTCCTCCCTTGTTAAGTCCTCATCTACCCCTATCTCTCATCTCCTCCACATCATTCTCCCCTTCTCCAACAATTTCTTCTTTTCCCTTTTTTTTCCAGCTCCACTATTACCATCATTCTCCCGTCATCCCCCTTCACTTCCTTCGACCCTGCTATTCCTACTTCCCTTTCTAACACTACCTCCATAATCTTCTCCATCAGCGTCCTTCTTTTTTCTTGATCCTCTCCATCCAGTCCTCTCCATATCATATTTCTCCTCCTTCTTCTTTTTCTCTCCTTTTCCTTCTCCATTCCTCTCTTTCCTCTCCCTTTCCTCTCTCTCTCTCTTCCCATTCTTCTTCTCCTTTTCTCCTTTTCCTCTATTTTCCTCCATATTTCCTCTCTTCCCTCTGCTTTACTCTTCTTCTCTCTCTCTCTTCCCTTGTTTTCCTTTTTATCTGTTTCTATCTCATTTTCTTTGCTTTCTATCTTTTTTCTCCTTCCTCTTTCTTTTTTTTCCTTCTTCTTTTCTCTTCCTCTTTTTCTGCACATCTTCTTTCTTCCTACCATCCCTTCCTTCCTCTTCTCCCCTGGCTCCTTCCTCCTCTTCTTTTCCCTTCTTCTTTCTCGCTTCTTCTTCTCTTTTCCTCTCCGCCAGCCTGCCTCCCGCCTCTTCCTTGATCCTCTTCTTCCCTCACTAAATTCCACTAATCCATCCTCTTCTCCCGTTGACTCTCTTGTACTTCGTACTTCCTATCTTCATCCTTTTCTTCCTTCCTTTTTCTGACCTCTCTACTCATTTCCTCTTTCACCTTTCCCCCCCTCTTCCTCTTCCTTCTTGCTTTTTACCGCCCTCTCTTTCCTTTCCTCCTCTTTTTGCATCCTTCTTTCTCCTTCCCTTCCTTTTTCTTTCCTTTCTCCTCTTGACCGATTCCCCTTTTTTCACCTTCTCCTCTTTTCTTTTTCTTCTTCTCTCCTCCTTCTTCCTTTTCCCTCCGTCTCTCTTCTCTCTCTCCCTTCATCCATCTTGCTAACTCCTCTACCACCTTTACCACTTTGTCCTCTTCCCCTTTCTTTCCTCTCTCCTCTCATCTATACCCAAAGTTATAATTTATATATATTTCCTCTAGATGTTAGTTAATTATATTTAAAATATTTTTCTATAAAATAGCTTTTTTTCTCAATATTTGTTTATTGACATTAAAATGAGATACTTCAAATATATAATATATCAAACTTTATTTCTAAAAGAATATTATTATAAGAGGAAAAGTATAAAATCTTCATTAATTCTTATTAAATTCAAATACAATTGTATATTGAGTTAAATATTTTATAATTAAATTAATGAAAATATAAAATTATTAATATTAATTTTTAATTTAAACAAATGTAGTATTAATAATAGAATAATATTTATTAAATTTTTATGTATTTTTTATAGATCGAAGAATCATCTTTCGAAGGTTTGATCAAACTGAAATGGCTATCCTTACAAGACAACAACATTCTATTGGTACCAGTTTCAGCACTTATGCGATTACCATCCTTAGCACACTTGCATCTGCAATTCAATCGCATTGCCACACTCTCCAGCGAACTAATTCACGCCACATCGACGAATCTTATGAGTCTGGGCTTGGCACATAATCTAATACGCGAAATACAGCCTAGATTATTCTATAACTTTGAACATCTTATCAACCTCGAACTTTCCGGCAATATGCTGTCAGTTATTTCGCAAAACACATTTGCTGATCTGGAAGATACCTTGCTGAATCTTGATATATCATATAATCGATTGATAACTATCACTGAGTTAATGCTGGGAAATCTACTTTCACTGAATTTGGCGGGTAACCAACTAAAACGATTATCACCGGAAACGTTTAAATACTTAAATAAATTAAAGTATTTGAATCTCAGCAGTAATCCCTTATATGGTGGTTTTCCGCCGGTATTTCCCTCATCTTTGATCAATCTCGACATATCGCATACAGAACTCAAGATCTTACCGACTGTGTTGCTGCTAAATCTTAAATCACTAGAGAGAATTTTTCTTTCTGGCAATCAGCTACAAGAAATTCATGAGGGCACCTTTCAGCATCTGTACAATCTTACAACAATTGATCTTTCATACAATGCCATCGAGCGCATCGATATTGGCGCCTTTGTCAATCTCATTAATCTCTACTCGTTAAATTTGTGCGGTAATAAACTCACGTTATTCATTGGCGAACACTTCAACACCGGTACTGGTTTAGAAATTCTTGATTTGTCCAACAATTATATTAATCAATTGTCTCCGACTGCCTTTGTGATACATCCAAGGCTTACACGACTTGACCTGTCAAACAATAAATTTGTCCAGTTTCCCAGTGACTTTATCAAATCATTACAATTTTTGAAATGGTTGGATTTATCTGATAACATGTTACATCACGTGAACGAGTTTGCCTTTTCGCAGATAGGAAGATTGCGCGAGCTGGATCTCTCCAATAATAGAATTGAATCGGTAAGATATTGTGATATGTAATAGCAAGAAAAAGAGAAAAAATATAAAAAAAGGAGAAAATGGAAAAATATAACAGAGAAAAAGAAGAAATAGAGAATATACAAAATAATGAAATAAAAATATTTATTAAAAAATCAAATAAAACTTACATTATTAATAATAAAATTGTTACAGGTAGATGAGCTGGCCTTTCACAATTCCACGCAACTTCAATTGCTAGATTTATCTAACAATGTTTTAGAAACGCTGAACGAACGTACTATGGAAGGTCTATATCGATTAGAAATTTTGAATCTATGCAATAATCGACTTGCCTCGCTACCCGAGACTATCTTTGATCCATCGAGGATTCGTAACATTGAGAAGATTGATTTATCTGGTAATCGTTTTAACGAGATACCAATCGCTCTGCAACGACAATCACTGCTTAATCTAAAAATAGCTCGCAACCAAATAGTGGAAATGTTTACGCAAGTTATCATCAATAACGTAAAGGAACTTGATCTCTCTGAAAATCCACTAAACGAAAACGCGATACGCGGCATTCTGGGCGAAGCAAAGATATTGCGATCGTTGAATCTCGCCGATACGAGTATCAAAACTATTTCTAGGATAGAGATGCCATTTCTGAAGTATCTGAATCTCTCAGGCAATGCAATCACAGATATTAAACCCAACACGTTCGAGCGTACTACAATGTTAGAAAGTCTAGATGTGTCAAGAAATTGTTTGACAGACTTCATAAATCTAACCAGCAGCTTTAAAACTCTGCTTGTACTCCAAAGTCTAGACATCTCTCATAATGAAGTAAAGAACATTAACGAGAGCAGCTTCAATGGATTGGTCACGTTACGCTCTTTAAAAATGACAAATTTAGCGAATAGCACCAGAATTGAGAAAAATGCATTTAAATCGTTGACAAAATTACGATTTTTACATGCTTACAATTATCCTAAGTTAATCTACTTTGATGTACAAAATATTCTGAAAAATATGTTAAATCTAGAAACGCTGGACATTGAAATCAAAGACTCATCAATAGGCAACGAGCAATTATCAATACATACTCATCCTCGTCTGCGAGAATTAACATTGCGAGGGGAAAAACTGCGTAGTATTCATTCGAATTTGCTGATTGGTGTGCGAGGACTAAGATTGTTCCTAGGTCTAAAGAATACTTCCATAGATTTGATACCAACTGCTTTCTTATTTCCAGTACCGCGATCTACCATGGTTGAATTAAATGTTGCTGATAACAAGCTTACAAATTTATCAGCTCAGCTATTAGCCGCTTTGGACGAACGAGGAAGTTCCGTAAGAATCAGTGGTTTAAATAATAACCCGATTAATTGCAGTTGTGAGACAAAATATCTATGGAGATGGCTCCAATTGCCAGGCAATAGAGCGCCCATTGTAATCTGTGCCAATCCTAAACACTTCGAGGGTGTAACGTTGAACGATCTTACAAAAGAGAATTTCTTATGTAATCGCACGACATCAACAAAATTACAAATGACAGAAACTATGGTATTGACAAAATCTACAACACACGAACCAGAAATCATATGGACTATTGCACCGACGGTGCAAAATAATCGAAATCAATATATTGATCATACAAGTAAAGTCAAGCTTAATATTTTTAAGTTCTTGTTTGTTAATTAAACATTTTGAATAACCGACAATTGATTCAAATTTAAAATTTTAAATGTTTAATTTAAAATAAATTTTAATCTTAAGCAAAAAAAATTAATTTAATTTTTCAATAAAAAGTAAACTAAATCTTTAATTAATACGTAATAAAAAATTATTTTATTATTTTTTGCTAAGAAATTTTTTTTTGTTTTAAATTTGAAATAATACTTTTCATGCTCTCTCTCTCTCTCTCTCTCTCTCTCTCTCTTTCTCTCTCTCTCTTTTTATATATTATTAATAATATATTATTAATAATATCATACTGATTGACAGATGCATCCATGATGAGTAATACTTCGAGCACTGACGATACCCTCATTATCAGCATCATTGGTGGTGTAGTAGCATTCATCGCGGTCATTATCAGCGTGATTTGCATCTGCCGATTGCGATGGAGTAGCCAAATGCAAGAAGCGAGAATGACAACAATAGGCACCTCAATCATCCCTGAGGAGTCAATGATTCCTGAGACATCAATTATACGACCAACAAGTGCCTATTCAAACAAGATTAATCATCATGATCTGTACATAGGCTTATACAACAACTCGACTTTAGAACGCAGCGGCAATAGTTCAATGCTATTGACTACCCCTGTGCAGATGATGCCCTTTGCGCAACCGATTCATATGATGCACGCTATGAATCCGTCCTCATCTTCACTGTCTACGCAGCAAATTTATGACAATCCACCTCTTCCCATATACGTTATAGAGAACAAAATAGAGAGACAATTAATGTAGAGGCAATCAGTCCTCGAATAATATAAATATCTAAAAATTATGTATTTGTATGAGGGGAAGGGGGGGTGTATCTTTTTTTAGCCTCGAGAAAATGCGCATCCGCATACCCAGTCTTCTTGGGAGAAAAAAGTGGGTTATATGGAGCTGGGACTAAGGCTGCTCCGACCCACTAAAAACTCGAGGATGGCCATTCCTACGCCTCGGGAACTGTTTTGCACATTACCTCCAAGGCCGCCCGAGCTCACGTATTATTGCGCCCGGCTCATGGGGATGTATCTGTGTGCGTGTGTGAAAGCACGCGCGTGTGTATTTAATCTACTTAAAAGTAGGAATGTTAGGCCGGTTCTAATCCGGAAGTGCCAAGAGATAAGCGGGGAAAGAAAGCAGGGAGCAAAGGTAGAGTGCGGAAAAAGAGATCAATATTATTAAGCAAAAGAACAGTAAGAGAAGGAAGTAGGAACTATTTTTAAACTATAGAAGAAGAAGAAAGAGAGGAACGTGATATCAATGGTAATATTGATATGGTATCAATATATGGGTAGTATCAAAGATAATATTGATAAAAGTGACACATATTGATAGTATTTGAAGTGACGTCTGCTGATATACATATAGCCATATAACTCGAGCGTGAGACGAAGCGCGTATTGAGTTGTTAACATTGACTCGCGATGATGTTATGTCATATCCGGTGGCATTTACAAATGTTGTAGAGAAATGTTGTAAAGAAAAAAATTAAGTTGCGCACAATAAACATATTGTTTATGTGTGCTAAATATTATCGCCATTTACTGTGTGTGTTTTAATTTTCAATATATTATAAATTGTAATGATACACTATTCATCGTTACCTGATATATAGTCAATCAATCAGAAGTCTGTCGCTCGACAAATATAACTGTGAAATGAGCAGAAACAGGACATGTTTAAATATAAATGATTGAAATGAACACCACACAATTGGACACTACACGATTGAATCATAGATTCAATTAGACACGGTTTCTATTGACAAGGTGTAAACAAATGATCTTACATTCTACAAAAAATTACAAACTTATGTAATTATGCAATTATTGACCTCATTATGAACTGAAAGTATCAGTCGATATACATAGACTTTGCTTTGCATAGAAAACAAATTCATATGGAAATTCGTACAATGTCCAATATGAACGTGTCCAATAGTATGTGTTCAATCGAGCGGTGTCCAATCAATACATGTCTAAACAGAATATATAGAGAAACCTGAGAGCGGCCACCGAGATTTAGTGGCCGTGTAGGGAGTATATCTCCCCTCTCTCCCGAGTAGTTTTGGCGAGCACGGTAGCGCGCAGATAGGCCGTGGACGGTTGTAACGAGTGGACGTGCTAATAAAGTATTCCTCTAAGTACTATTGTTCTGACGTATTTACTTGATATTCGAATTCCTACATTGGTGACCTTGAACTAGAATTACGCAGCCTTCGTGAAAGAATTTGAACACGATACGCTGCCCGTCCATAAGTCAAGCAACAATTTCTACGAAATAACGCATTCCGCAAAGGACAAGCGGCCACTTTGATAAATCTTCCATGTGACAGACACGCGGGTGCAAGGCCATTCCATAACCTCAATCCTAATACATCCACTACTACGAGCTATTAGTACGTAAAGCCAACGTCACCGGTGCTTTGAGTCCTGTCGCCGCCGAGGTATTAAGTGCGTGAAGCCAACGTCACCGGCGCCTTGAGTCTTGCCGTCGCCGACGAGTTATTAAGTGTATGAAGCCAACGTCACCGGCGCCTTGAATCCTGCTGTCGCCACCGAGTTAGTAAATACGAGAAGCCAACGTCAACGGCGCCTGGGATTTCATCGTCGACGGCGCCTTAAATCTTGTGTGTTAGCCGTACATAAGACGGCAATAATAGAGACATTCAAGTTAAATTAAGGTTATAGAATGTCTGACGAGGCCCTTGCCGCGGCCCGAGCGCGCGCAGAAGTTGCAAAGGCAGAGCTCGCCGAGCTGCAAGCTCAATTATTGAATCAAACTATGATAGCCGCCCCGAGTGCGGCCGATAACAATATGCAGACGTTTCCCCATATAGATTACTACAGGGTTTCCAAGCTTCCCCCGTAGACCTCCCAGGTAGACCCAGCGCTATGGTTTATTCAGGCCGAGGTTTCTTTGAAAAATTCTCGAATTACAGCAGAGCACACCAAAGTTAAAATTGTTCTTGCTGCATTCAATGTCGAGGTATTAGGTTGCGTGAGAGACATAATTACCGCGGACCCTCCCCCAGCAAATATTTACGAACAAATTAAAAACCGGATTATCGCGACATACGCGCTGTTCGAACGAAGCAAAATTACGGAAATTATTAAGAGGACAAGTAAAAACTGACGGAAAACCCTCTTTAATTTTTAGCCGTTTACGCGGTCTTAACGACGGAAACGTTGAAAATAATGTAATCAAATCTATCTTTCTATACCAACTACCCCATGAACACCGCGCAATTCTCGTCGCGACGGAAGTCACCGACCTCAACCGCCTTGCGGAAGCCGCTGATCGCATGGCGGAAAGTGCGCTTGGTACCAATTAGAATGCGTCGGCCGTATCGAAAATAAACATGCCCCCGCCGGAAAATGCCAAATGTAGCAATTAATTACCAGCATAGTTGCATTAAATAAAAAAATCGAAAAGCTGGAAAGAAAATGGAACTCGCGCCCGCATTCGCAATCTAATTCTCGCAGGCGTAGATTATCGAACTCGCCGAATCGTGGAGGTACATCTTCGCTTTGTGCGGCTCACACTAAGTACCCCAATAATCCGACCTCATGCCGAGAATGGTGCGTGATGTACAAAACTTGGAAAAAGCAAAAAACTAGATCAGCCTTGCCGTTTAGAGACGGTCAGCAAAGGTCAACAGATTTCTAACCGTCTCCATGTTCGCGATCGTATCAGCGGTCAAATGTTCGGGGTAAATATCTTCTTGGTACCTGCCTATACTGGGATCAAGGAGAGGCCCTCGGAACTGAAACTCTTCGCTGCAAACAATACGCGTATCGATACGTTCGGAGAATCACTTCGCAAACTCGACCTTGGAGTGAGATGACAAATTCGATGGAATTTTTGCATCGCCGCGATTCCTTATGCTATCATTGGCGCCGATCTGCTCTCCTATTATGGATTACTAGTAGATCTTAAACAACAGCGTCTCGTAGACAATACTACCAAATTGTATTCCCGCGCGACCAGAAAACCAGCTCCAATTCATTTAATTAACGCGGTGGATCCCAGCTCTAAATTTTCTAAAATCTTCGCCGAATTTCCACAAATAACGAGGCCTCTTTCCCCCACCCCACCCACGGACCGCGACGTGTTTCATCACATTATAACCACCGGCCCCCTGGTTGCCGAGCGAACTAGACGACTTGCGCCGGATAAACTTAAAGCCGCCAAGGCCGAGTTCAGGGCACTAGTACATAATATATAATACATCTTTATTTTACAAAATAAAAAATTTATAATACAAAATATTTGACATTTTTTTTTATCGAGATAGTAAATTACAGATTTCGTCACGAACACGCGTTCCTCTCACATCATCCTCATATTCCTTTGCATTATCGATCATTACAATGGGTCTATTTTGTAATTCAATATCTGGATATTCGTCATTTAGCTGTGGTTCAAAATAGTGTAAGTCTTGCACATTCGCAATGTTATGTAATACACAACATGCATGTATAACTCGTACCATTCGTGGTATATCTCGCAATTTAAAATGGTATAACTGACGAAATCTTTGCTTGAGGCAGCCAAATGCATTTTCGATAACAACTCTGCATGAGCTTAGTTTCTGGTTGAATGATCTTTGTGCACGTGTCAAGTGTCCGTTATCTTTATATGGAACAATCAATTGTTTCAAACAGGGATAAGCACTATCTCCCAACAGGTAATAATTATCTGAAAATTATTATTATATATGTATATATATATATATATAAATATATATAGTATTGTATATGTAATATATATATGTATATGACTATGTTTCCACCGAGAGTTCGAATTGGGTCAGAGTCACAGTCGGGTTATAGTGAGCATTTTTACGGTGAAAACACCAATAACTCTACCCTATAAAATTATTATTGGTGTTTCCACTGTAAGAGTGCTCACTATAATCCGACCCGATTCAAACTGTTATATATATATATATATATATATATATATATATATATAATGTATGATATATTTATATTATATATATTGATATATTTAATTTATATTATAAAACCAATTTTTTTCCAATTTACCTCCACAAATATTATGTAGATCATTATATAGTGTTGAATTTTTTAAAACTCTTGCATCGTAAACGGAACCTGGATACCCAATAAATACGTCAATAAAGGAGGGGTGTCAATAAGGCCGTTTTTTGGACCACGTCAGAATCGCTCCAAACTGTGGTATTTTTCCTACCGATGTAGCTCACAACCTCCTAGAACCGTTTGCTGTCCGAGCAATTAAAGTCTGAGAACGGGCAACTTGAAATCTCAAAAATCAATGGAGTTTTTCACATGGTGGTAGTGCCGGTCTCATTTCAGCATGTCATTGTTGAGCTTCCATCACCATATTTTCTCAAAAACTACTAGAGTATTTGCTGCTTTAAATACGAAAGGGAGCTCATCAGACCTTCATGCATTCAAGATAGAATCAAGCCTGGTATTTTGAACGGATTGCCATATTACTGAACAATCATGCAATAGCATCCCTTGCGATGAATTGGACGATACTACTATAAGCCCAAACTTGATTTTAAGGAATAACATCATTTTGCGAATGCAATGTATATTCGAAATCACATACTGTGAAAAAATATTTGAATTCCAAACCTCAGTGAAGAGATGTAAAGAATACCTTCTGGAACGGACTTCTTTTTCATAGAATGCAATGCTCAGCTTCGCGGAAAAATACTTTATTTATTTTATTTATTATTTTTATTATTTTTTTTATTCGCAGCAAATACTCTAGTAGTTTTTGAGAAAATATGGTGATGGAAGCTCAACAATGACATGCTGAAATGAGACCGGCACTACCACCATGTGAAAAACTCCATTGATTTTTGAGATTTCAAGTTGCCCGTTCTCAGACTCTAATTGCTCGGACAGCAAACGGTTCTAGGAGGTTGTGAGCTACATTGGTAGGAAGAAAATACCACAGTTTGGAGCGATTCTGACGTGGTCCAAAAAACGGCCTTATTGACACCCCTCCTTTCATGTCATGATTAACTGTCCCTTGCACTTGAATAGAAAAATATTGTTTCCGATTTATATAGGAATCAGGATCTTCAAGAGGTTTGTCTATTCTTATTTGAGAACCATCGATAGCACCTAAAAAAATTTCAATAATTATTATATATTCACCAATTATATTAGGAAATCGTTTTTGTTGTAGATAAAAGTTTGAAGTTTGTTCTTTTTCGAGATCAGTTGGGTATTTAATAATATTAGGCGCTAAAGCTAAAATAAAATCGGTTACTCTTGATATTACTGTATGTAATGCACTTATTGTTATTCCGAATCTATCTGCTATATCTCGATAAGATCCTGTTTGATGACCCACAAACCATAAATAACATAAAATATGTTTTTCAGCGCTAATTTTATTATTTTGTACACGTTCTGAAAAAATACACAAAATAATAAAATATTTTTATTTTCATTTTTTAAGTATTATTTTTATTATTTTGTTGCTGTGTACCATATATCTAAAGTTAAATAGATTTCGTTAAATACACACCTTGTATAGAAGTAAATATTTCCGACACTGTAAATTGGTCTATTAATTGATATGCTGCTCTTCTTGACAAACGAAAATGCATGATAAAATCAACGTTATTATAATTATGAACAATATGTTCGATATAATTGTTTATTTTCACATGTTCAATTCTTTGCACTAATCCGAAAATTGGATGTAACATGTGTAACTCATAAAAATCTACAAATAAAAAATTATACTTACTAGGTTAGTTTACATTAGATTAAATTAATTTTTAAAAAAATTAATTTTTTTATAATATAATAATATATTGCATATAAAATACATACCATCGTCATCGTTACGCATAATAGGTTGAAATGGAAACAACATATTATTTTCTTCATGATCAGAAGAATCAAATAAATCATTTAAGATCATCGCCATGTTGATTATTACACTGACGCGTTCTTTATACTTGCTCACAAATAACATGTCCTGCTTGCACTAGTTCCGTTCAGTGCAGTGCAGTATGAACTCAGTGTAGCAATAAAGAACAAACCTATTGACGACATCTTAGTTGCGTCTTCTTCCTTAGATGAACACATCAAGCATTTACGCATAATATTTCAGAGGCTCAAAGAATTTCTCGTACTAGGCGTACCCGAACTAGAATTTCTCGGGTATATTGTAAACGGGAAGGAGATCCGCCCCACCCCCAAAAGAGTCAAATCAATTTCCGAGTTTTCCAGACCAAAAACCATCTCCGATTTACGTCGATTCTTTGGTATGGTTAACTTCTACCGTCGTAATGTTCCTCACGCAGCGAGTACACAAGCACCTTTGAACTCACTGCTCGTTAACTCATACAAAAGCGACAAGCGCATGATTACATGGTTTAATGAACTCATTGAAGCATTTGAGAAAATTAAAAACAGCCTTGCGGACGCCGCAATGTTGGTTAACCCCCACACTGGCGCAAAACTTCGGATTGTTTCGGACGCCTCTGATCTTGCTATGGGGGCTGTCCTCGAACAGAGGGAGCGGGACACTTAGCCTTCTTTTTGCAAACTCACGGCGATTTTTGAAGCTATTAAATATTTCCGCCATTTCATAGAAAGACGCAAATTTAAATTTTAACTGATCACAAACCGCTTATATATATGCATTTATTCAACAGTCTGAAAAAGCGTCCCCGTGCCAATTGCGCCAATTATCATTTATCGCTCAATTCACGACACATATTAAATATATCGCGAGCGTCCAGAATGTCGTCGCCGATTCGCTTTCGCGAATTGATTCTCTTTGGTTACCTATCGAGTTCAGTCTCGTCGAGCTCGCAGAACATTAAAAAAACGACGAACAAATCGAACTAATTTGCGGCACCCCAGACCACCCATTACAATTAAAAAAGATTCAATGAGGCCCGGAACACAACAATTTATTATGAAATCTCAGGCGAAGCTATTAGGCCATACGTACTCACGAGTCTTCGCGACAGAATCTTTCATATGTTCCATAACTCGGCGCACCCCAACGATAAAATCACAGACCGCACGATCCGACAGCGCTTCGTCTGGCCCAATATGCACCGCGACATTGCCAAATGGTGTAAAAATTGTATTGAATGCCAACAATCAAAGATATCTCGCCATGTAAAATTAACCCCAGAGCATTTTGTTGCCCTCGATGAGCGTTTCGATCAAGTACATTTAGATATTGTTGGCCCATTGCTTGTTTCAGAGGATTATACTTATTGTCTTACCATGATTGATAAGTTTTCACGTTGGACCGAAGCAACGCCGCTTAAAGACATCTCCGCGCAAACCGCCGCGAGAGCCTTTTATGATACATGGATTTCACGTTACGGGACCCCCCGATTACTTACTACGGATCAGGGTGACCAATTTGAGTCCCGACTTTTTACCGCGTTACTCTCATTGACCGGGTGTGAGAAAATCCGCACAACGGCTCACCACCCGGCATCAAACGGCATGATCGAACGTTGGCACCGGATGCTTAAGACTGCCATTATGTGCCACACCGATAAGCGTTAGACCCATACCCTATCAACTGTTTTATTGGGATAACGGTCACATGTTCGAGCCGACACAAATGCGTCACCAGCTGAATTCATGTTCGGAACAACATTACGACTTCCCGGCAAATTTTTTCTCCCCGACGATTACAAACCGGATCCCAATTACTTCATCGAAGAATTTCGTGAATATATGCGTCAGGTACGGCCCGTTCCCGTTGCGCACAAACACAAGAAACGTATCTTCTACTTCAAAAACTTGCACGAATGCACCCACGTATTTTTACCTAACATGGCTAACAAAGCCTTAGAGCAGCCTTATACCGGTCCACACAAAGTATTACAACGCGTCTCAGACTGCGTTTTTAACATTGATATCAACGAAAACGCAAAAATGTATCCGTCGAACTATTGAAATCAGCTTATTTTGTCTTAAACGATCTTACTGATCCTCCCGCGCTCGGCGAAAATATACCAAATCCACCGGCGCTTAAAACGTATTCGAAGAAAAAAGTTACTTTTGCACCTACAAATAAAAAAAGCGCTCAAGTCAAGCATGACTTAGCCTGCAAAGCCACAATTTTTTTTATTATTTATTTTTATTTTTATAATTTTTTTCCTTTTCATTTATTTATTATTTATATACAACATATATAATTTATAGTAATAGTTGTAAGTTTATTTAAACCATGAAAAAACACGCATATAAAACTTTAAACCATTCCAGCCAATCTTATGTAATAACATTGAGCGTCTGTACGTAGAGATATGCGCTTTGTTTTCATTTTCGTTTATATACATACTAATATTATATATATATATATTTCGGTGTCACTCGGGGGGAGGGGGGAGGGAGGGGAGGAGTATATAGGGAGTATATCTCCCCTCTCTCCCGAGTAGTTCTGGCGAGCGCGGGTAGCAAATAGGCCGTGGACAGTTGTAACGAGTGGACGTGCTAAAAAAGTATTCCTCTAAGTACTATTGTTCTGATGTATTTACTTGATATTCGAATTCCTACAGCCGCGTGTACTAGTGCGCCCCCTGACAAAGTGGACATAAACTACGTCGTGATGCTCGGTAAAAACCACGGTAAATGGTTCGATTCCGTGATATAGTTCATGTCCTAACTATTCAGCTAAGAACCAGGTTAAGAACCGAACAGCTGAGTCAGACAAGGACCAACGATCCATTGCTCTGGCTTTGTCTCACCTCACCGATGCGTCTCGTGGACTCGTGCGGCCGAAGATACGAGGTTTCACCTTTTGCGCGTAGCGTTTGCGTAATTCGAGGGTTATAATTTTTATGACGTTAATTTTGGGCAATATATAAAAAAATTATGTACATATCTTTTTAATTTGCTTTTTATTAAAATATTTTATTATTTATTTTCCAGCTCAAAAGTCATTCTAATAGAGATGACTTACTAAATATTTGAGATAGAATACAGAACTTTTGCCAGTAAAGGGATAGAGCGTAAAGCTTACAATTAACTATTTTCAAGAAAAATTAATTTAAACAATACATGGCAATTTTTATATTCGGCTCGATTAGATTGATTTTCGAAAAGTCGGCGTAGCATATACACTATAAAGTCTGCGGTTATCATGCTGTTGAATCGAGCGCAATTCGTGTTACTGACACTTTTTTCATTTATGCTAATTAGAATATTTAATTATGTAAAACAAAATTAATTTAATAATTTTTTAACTACAATATTTTAAAACGCAATATACACCTCTTTCTTCTCAGCCACAGAACCAAACGCAATGTTATTGCGAAATTAAGGAATCTGAGAATTTGTATCCTATGGTTAGGATCTCAAGAATTCTCCTTGTACCTCTTTTACTTCCTCTGTAAAGAAAAAGGCAAGAAAAATATTGGTCCGAAAGTTGGCTAAATCGGGAATCAAACCTGAGACCTTCCGCTTGCCGGGCAAATGCTCTTCCAATTGAGCTATTCAGACACTTACGAAACAATACTTTTCTCAATGCTTTCACCCCCCAAAGCGTCGTAATTAGGCCTAGACGCGAAATAAACAATAATAAGAATATTAGGTCGGCTCTTTTAATCTAAAACACGATATATTTTATATTTTATATAGTAACACGTAATATGAGACGAAAGATGATAGAAACAAAAAACATGGAGAGAGAGACTTCGGACTCTTTGATGATATGCCATCTCGCTCACTCTTTACTCGTTCTCGCTCTCGCTTCGATGTTTCGGGAATCTTTCCCTATCTCTGCAATAATTTACATATTTGAATATTTTATAAATAAAAACTAAAACTTTTAATTTACATTTAATCGAGTTGAAAATAATTTTAATGGCTTAATGAAACTTTTGCGATTAAAACGACACCAAACAAGCCATAAATCGGATAATTTTCAATTAGACAGGTAATTAAAAGTCAAATTGGGTTCAATTCTTATCACTCACACTTTTTTTAATTTATGCAAATTAAAATATTTATTTATGTAAAATAAAATTAATTTAACAATTTTGTTTTTTCATTTTGCACTTGCAATTTTTTTATACAGATACACAACTGGATAATTTTTATTTTACATAATCTTATTTTATACATTGTACCTAATATAAAATGAAGCAAATAAAACGCTATTGCAAAAGTTAAAATAGTTAAAAAATTATTAAATTAATTTTGATTTACACAATTAAATATTCTAATTTGTATAAATGAAAAGTGTCAGTGACAAGAATTGCGCCCGAGTCAACAGTATGATAACCGCAGGCTTCATAGTGCATGTACTACGCCTTCTCAAAAATCAATCTAACCGAGCCGAATACAAAAATGCCATGTATTGTTTAAATTAATTTTTCTTGAAAATAGTTAATTGTAAACTTTATGCCCTATCCCTTTACTGGCAAAATATTTCTATTCTATCTCAAATATTTAGTAAGTCATCTCTATTATAATGATTTTTGAACTGGAAAATAAATAATATAATATTTTAATAAAAAGCAAATTAAAAAGATATGTACATAATTTTTTGATATATTGCCCAAAATCAACGTCATAAACATTATAACCCTCGAATTACGCAAACGCTACGCGTGAAAGGCAAAACCTCACGCATCGGTGAGGTGAGACAAAGCCAGAGCGATGGATCGTTGATCCTTGTCTAACTCAGCTGTTTGGTTCTCAACCTGATTCTTAAGCGCAGTTTTTATTGATGCTAGAAACCAGCGTCAAACGGAGATCACGTGACTAAATTTGTCGCTTGTCTAATGGAGGGAGAAGTAGTGGCAAAATATGCGCGTCGTAAACCGCTGATAAAATTGAGAATATAATGGCTTACAGGCAGAAATATCGTGCATAGATGACAGAACGTGCGAGACAGGTGAATAATGTTCAAAAAGGACAACTCTTTCTTCTTCTTCGTTCATTGTTAATTACAATTACTGTTGAATTCGCGGCACGCTGAAAAAGCTGAAACGGTTGAACTTTATTCCCCTATATTTTCTTGACGCTGAATCTAGAGAAATCTAGTGATTTTAATTTGACGCTGGTTTCTAGCGTCCATGAAATTGCACCTTTATTGTTAGCTGAATAGTTAGGACATGAACCATATCGGAATCGAACCATTTACCGTGCTTTTTACCGAACGTCACGACGTAGTTTATGTTCACTTTGTCAGAAGGCGCACTAGTACACGCGGCTGTGGGTTACTGTGTATCTGGTTAGGCAGGAAAACTCAGGTACAGAAGTCAACTACGTGTTATTCACTTCTAACGTAGAATAAAAATAAATATTTTATTTCTTTACACTGTTCTCAGTTTAGTTCTTTTATCTTAAAAAACGGAACGAATAATAATACATAGGCTATACCATATATATCTCTAGATTGGTAATCCGACAAAAAAATAATAATGGACTAGTTATATCATTGGTACCAACCCCTACAAGTACTCCCCCTAAATAACGTTATACATATATAAAATACAAAGGAAGTATACTTGCTCAAAGTGTATCTGAAATTAAAATTAGTGTCTCTTT